TTTCCACAACGGCCAAAACCCGACATCAGGCAGCTTTGATGTCAAATATCTACTAGAAATTATAGATCTCAAACATGATCTTAATCGAAAATCTCCACTCGCGGGCATAGCTGCATATAAAGACTAAAATATCAAGAAATACTTCGAGTATAGTTAATTAGTCAAAACTCAATTGGACAACTAATGGGTTGCCATCCATTCAAAAGCCATATAATATCGTCAAAACAATTACTGAAAAAAATTCAGATTCAAATTTTTCAATGATAGGAACTTTTCCGATAATTATTTTCATGGAACTGAATTTAGGCAGATGGGATAAGCCTATATGGTGGCTCTTTCAAAAGCGTTTTAAGTTACTAAAATTAGGTGACATCCACACATCGTGGAGTAATATTTTATAAATATAAATAATAGTGTAATAAATATAAATTCAAAAAAATAATATTAAATAATACTTACGATAAATATCATAAAATGGCTATGGAATAACATCTTGCATAGTTAATTATACATTGTCTGATATTGCAATATATCATATATAAGTATGTATGATAATGTTAATTTAATATATAAGTATGATTAAGTAATATATTTAATATATAAAATACAATGATACCAAAAAGTTGCAAAAAGTAGATTTTATATATTTATTTTACATAGATGACTGTGGTGGTAAATGTTTAAAAATTTAATGGTTAAGAACGTGGTCTCTAACAAACTGGTCCTGAGTTTGATCCTAAGCTGCTTGATATGAAGTAGTATGTTATTAAATTTGCATTTGGGGTTTTAAATCCTAAATTCAAACTCTAGTGAATATCGCCTTTCACAGGCATTGTTCCAATATATATTAGCCAACACTATTAGATATTCATTTAGAGATTCTATTTTAAATAGTCTGAACATAAATAAAAAAGAAGAATTATTGACTGCTGGACAAATTCGGCTCATAAAATAAGTAATTCTGATCGACGTTAAAATAAATAAATAAATTAAAATAAAATAATAAAAATAAATTTTATATACATTTATTTACAGAAGGGTATATCAAGTACATTTTACTGTCAGATCAAATAAAATATCCAATTAAAACAAAAATATATTACATTCTGCCCTAGTTAAAAAGATCGCTCCAGTTCCATCGTGTACGTCAAAACAATCGCGTGAAACACAACGAATTAAACAGTTTCGCACAAAAGAATGTTTGTACGTTTTGTTGATCCTTTGTGTGTAAATAGTACGTTTGTTATTTGTTTTGAAAATAAAAACCTTTATATTTTATCTTCTCTTATTTAGACACTTGTTGTATATCATTATATGCAGTTGAGTTGGAACATGAAACATCACCTGCGATGCGGACGCAAAGGTGTTTTTTATTGTTAAAACAATGGATTGAATAAGGTGCGGTGGTGAAAGGGAATTTTATTGAAATGCAGATACTGCCACTAAAATATTTATTTTATGATTATTTAATTTGGCTTTTTATGTAAGATTTTAATTCAATTGTTCATAAATTAAGAAAAATACTAATAATAAAATAATATAATTTTAATAACTTTAACAAGATTTAAACTTAATATTTTTTAATAACAACGCCTCCATTATGGAACATCAGCAAATTTGAAAGAACTTAAATTATCTAAATCAAATGCCAGTCCAGTGATTAAACTACCAATCCAGGCATGATTAAACTAAATTAAAATTAATATTAAAGAAAAATAGTTGTAGGAAATTTTTGCCAGGCCTATCAAAATATGGAGAGTTTTCAACCAAGATAAGTAATACATTTTATTAGGTAAAAAATATAATAATACAAACTCATTTCACATGAACATTACAAACATTATTTATTTATTTATTTATTTATTTATTTATTTTACAAGCCGTCGGTATAATAATATTATAATAAGGCTAAGTAACTATTAACTATTTTATTTCTTATTTAATTTATTTACTATAAACTTATTTATATTTAGTTAATTTTAATTATTTTTTAAATATAATTATTTTGTTTGTTGCAAGTATTTTTTAAAAAAATTAATAAGTATTTAATTAGTAATAAGCTTTACAACACTTTTACATTATAATTATTTTATTCAAAAATTTTTAGGTTATTTTATGATATTTTAACAAGTTTAAGTGTCTTATTATTATTATAATTATTATCATTATCATTTCTATTATTATTATTAAGTATTTTTACAATATAAGTTTACTTTTATACATTTTTAGGTATTTTGATGAAAGAATAATATTTTGTTTCACAATTTTTAAATGTTTTTAAATTAAAAGTTTTTAGTTAAGTAATTAAGTATTTTAACAATAACAATCATATAAAAACAATAATTATAAATTATATTTTGTAATAATTGATATTTTGTCAAGTGTGTACATTTTAACATGAGCATATTAATGGCTTAAATAAATAAATATAAATGAATGAATAAATACATAAACTAGAGTAAAGTATCAGAATAAACAAAAGTAGTTCTAAATCTGTAGCATAGTTTATATTTATCATTTTATGATTAAGCAAAAATTTGGTAAACAAAATAATTATGTTGTAAAAATATTGAAAAGTTTTTTAAAATACTCATTTAATTCTTAAAAAAAAATACTTGCAATATAATATAAACACAAATCATCATAAAACAAACTATTTATATTTAAAAATAATATAAATTAACTAAATATAAATAAATAAATAAATATAAATAAAAAAGTTTATAGTAAATAAATTAAAAAATAAATAAATAAGTAATAAAATAGTTATTTAAATTATTATAATATCATTATACTGACGGTTTGTATAATCAATAAATAAATAAATAATACCATATTGGATATAATAAATATATAAATATTATGTTTGTTATATAATAATATGAATAGAAAAATTAATTTATTCCAAAGTAGTCTCATCATCACTATAGGCATTTTCAACAAACAATTTCTTTTTATCTTATAGTTTTATCAGAGGAAAAAAACATATTTTTATATAAGGTCTTTCACTAATTTGAACTAATAATTACATAACAGTATAAAATTAAAATACAAAAAGAGATCTAGATAAAATGGCAAGATTTCTTTGTTATAATATTGTGTGAGAGTAAAATGCAACTTACTTGTAATCACTTTATAAAAATTAATCACACGTACACACAAAAACCATGTCTACAATTTTGAAAAATTAAATCTATGTTCCTATTCTATCCACTTTTGTGTAATCTATTAATATAATTAAAATTACAACTTTTTATGTTTGATTATATCTATTTTTATTAAAAATTAAGCACAACACACCACGATGCACGACCAGGGAAAGCACGCGTATCACTGAAAGCATTTTCACTGAAACGCACGTGGTTCAAGTAGACCCCCAGAGGCAGGTTGCAGCGCTTGCGCCCAAGGACATTATTTCATGATCCATGAGATAATAAATATCGATAAATTTTCAGTAAATTTATTGTTATTTTTATCTAAAGTGAAACCTGCTTTATTAGTAATTTTACTGTTGCTAGTGTATGAGAATGATAAAACTTGGACAGAAATCTAATTAATTTGTAAAACAATACAAATAAAAATTTTTTTACTCATCATAAAATTTAATTTTTATTGAATTTTTAAGCCTATTTTGGTATGAACACGTTTTTGTTTCTAACTAATTTCTAATTTTGATGTCTATAATGTACCCATCTACATATCAGCATATGTTATTAGTCTTTTGACTATTTTCCAATCATATATGTAATATGTATTCTTTTGTTATTATTATTGTAAATATGGTTTTCAGTGATTATTTTTATCATGATTAAAAATTTATTTATAAGTTAATTTAATTGTTATTAGTTAGTATTAAATATAAGTTTATATATTTATATCTTAGGATAGTTATACATGATTATATAAATTGTATAGAAATATGTATGTATAATCTAATATAAATGAAATAAATAAATCTTTAAAAACAAAAAACCTATCTACAATGTCAATGTTAGAAACAAAAACGTGTTTATATCAAAATAGGCTTAAAAATTTAATCAAAATTAAATTATATAATGAGTATAATATTTTTTATTTGTATTTTTTTACAAATTAATTAAATTCCTATCTAAGTATATATAGTATATATTATCCTAATTTTTTTATTTTTGTCAATCTGAACCAGTCTTATGATACAAAATAAATAGATGAAAACAAAAAAGAATTTAAACAAAAGCATAATTAATTAGCATGATATTAATTAATCGAATGACAAATGTAAATAGAACGCGATAGAATATTAATTTTATCCAAAAACAATCCTACTAGCTTAATTAAATTAGCAAGTTATAAAAATATCCGTTTCCAAAAAATAAACTAGATTCACTATGCAAAAATTTATTAATATCGCTAGAAACATATTTTTCAACAAATTAAGTATAAAGAAACAGCTTGACCGATCTTTATCAAAACCTAATCAGCACCTTAAGTGATAACTTTCAAACAATGTTTAATGTTTTTAAATGGATTCAGAATTTTTGGAAAAAAGCGCTTATGTGCTAATTATAAAGATACACCTTGGCTGATCGTCGCCCAATTTTATTGAAAATTCTTGAAATTGATACAGCCGTTTTTTTTAAAAAAAGGTCGAAGGTAGATCAAATTTAGACTCAAATGCATACTGCACACACATGCATTTTTGCTAAATATATCAAACATTCATGTTAAAATTAACTTTGGTCAAGTTAATATAACAATATGGTTGCTTCTCAACAACTAGTCGTGTGTTAGAAATTACCCTAATAATGTTTTTCCCAGAAAGTTATTCCATCTATGTTATGTATGCGCCATAGAGGCGAACCAAAAGATGCGTATCAGTAATTTTAGTTCAACTAGTCACGTACAGAAAGCGCTTTTTCAATTTTATTCAAAAAACAAAATTGCGCGCTCTATCACATGGTTTGGAGGTTGGTATTAGTTTTTCTGACTCTCGATTTTAAGGCTTGTCAAATCGGCTGAGTGACCATCTAAAGTATCTTTTATCTAGGTTATCAAGATAATTTTAACATTGCATTAAAATGATGACGTTTATCGCATGGAAGCCTATTTATAAAATACAATAATTTGCGTTCGTGTTCAATTTTTTCATATAATGCGAGCGACGCAAGCAGTCTTTTATCTTGTGTTGTAATTTTATGATTCATTACTGCAATCATGCTTCAAATATTGGTAAAATTTAGTATTCTACAAGTATTATTTACTTTTGCAATTGTTCAATCATTTTATCTACCCGGCTTAGCGCCAGTAAATTACTGCATACCTGGGGAGCAATCAGATACTTGTAAAGTATGTAAAAAAAATAATTGATGTTTTCATATATGCAATTTACACAATGTTTTTTTTTAGTCTCAAGTTAAATTATATGTGAACCGCTTAAATACAGAGGAATCAATAATACCTTATGAATATCATCATTTTGACTTTTGTGTAAGTGATGAAAGTAATTCACCAGTTGAAAATCTTGGACAAGTTGTTTTTGGAGAGAGAATTCGACCTAGTGCTTACACAATTGAATTTTTAAGTAACAAAAAATGTAATGTTGCTTGCACTAAGGAATATAAAGGTGGTGATGTTGAAAGTGAGAGAAAGCTGACAGATCTGAAAAAAGGTTAATATTTTTTTTATGTAATTTTTATTTTACCATAATATTGCTTCATTGAACATTGTTTATGAAGTAAAGAATGTAATACATAAAGTATTTCAATGTTAATGTACTATTCAGATTTATAATAGATATTCAGTTGGTTGTAACATCTAAATGTTACTTATTTAAATCAATATCAATTATTTGTTATATCTCATAAACGTAGCTTCATTTGGAGAAAATTACTAATGATTGACTATATGCTAAAATATTGATACGCTTAAATTTATAGGAATGAGTCTGAACTATCAGCACCATTGGATTGTTGATAATATGCCTGTGACTTGGTGCTATCCTTTAGAAAATAATAGGCAATATTGTTCTACTGGATTTCCAATGGGCTGTTATGTTAAGCCAGGACAATTGGATAGTTGTGCTGTAAACCCGGCTTATCGCAAACCTGATACATATTATTTATTTAATCACGTAGATTTGACTATTACATACCATAGTGCTGATAAAGAAGATTGGGGTAGCTCTGTCTCTGAGAATAGTGGACGTATTATATCCGTTAAGGTATTATATAAATATAATAAATAGAAATTTTCAAAGTAATAACTATATCTACATAATATAATAGAAACGATTTAACTCATTAAATTTTTTAGGTGATGCCATCAAGTATACATTATGCTGATATTAAAAACCCTGACTGCTCTAAACAAGATACTCCATTAGAAATTTCTTCAAAACCATTAGCTAGCAATGAGGAGTTAAAAATTGCATACACATATTCCATAACTTTTCAAAAAAATAATACTATTAAATGGTCTTCAAGATGGGACTACATTCTAGAATCTATGCCTCAGACCAATATTCAGTGGTACATAATTATATAAAACATCATATAAAATAATTGTGTTTGAAAGTATCTTGAAAATTATTCCGTATTTTTTAGGTTTAGTATCTTGAATTCGTTAGTAATTGTATTATTTTTAAGTGGCATGGTTGCCATGATTTTACTAAGGACTTTACATAAAGACATTGCCAGATATAACCAAATGGAATGTGGTGAAGATGCTCAGGTATAAAATAATATATGTATTAAGCATTACAGTTTTTAGGAAATTTATTGTAATGACTCAATGAAATATTACAGGAAGAATTCGGTTGGAAACTTGTTCATGGAGATGTATTTCGACCACCACGTAAGGGGATGCTTTTATCAGTCTTATTGGGTTCAGGAATTCAGGTGAATATTTTTTTTTTATTTTTATCATGAACATATAACTTAATGCATCATTACAAATGCTAATAATATTAAATATTTGCATTAGGTATTCTGTATGACTTTAGTTACTTTGGCATTTGCTTGCCTTGGATTTCTAAGTCCTGCTAATAGAGGTGCTCTGATGACTTGTGCTATGGTATTATATGTTTTATTGGGAACTCCAGCAGGATATGTATCATCTCGTATTTATAAAAGTTTTGGAGGCGAAAAATGGAAATCAAATGTTATCTTAACCAGTATGCTCAGTCCAGGGTTAGAATGTTTGATTAATATTGATTTATATAAGCATATTTTGAATATGTGATATATTATAATTTATGTTTTAGGATTGTTTTTTGTCTATTTTTCCTGTTGAACTTAATTTTATGGGGCAAGGGCAGTTCAGCGGCTGTTCCATTCAGTACTTTAATTGCTCTGCTTGCTTTATGGTTTGGTGTATCAGTTCCACTCACTTTCATAGGATCATATTTCGGATTCAGGAAAAGGGTAATGTGAATATGGAGATAAATAACTGAATAGATTTTAAGATGAAATAATTAAACCAAATATTTTAGGCACTGGAGCATCCTGTTCGTACAAACCAAATTCCAAGACAAATACCAGACCAGTCAATATATACACAGCCTATCCCTGGAATTATAATGGGCGGAGTTTGCCATTTGGATGCATTTTCATTCAATTATTTTTTATCTTAAATTCTTTGTGGTCAAGCCAAATGTATTATATGTTTGGTTTCCTATTTCTAGTTTTCTTAATTCTTGTGATAACTTGCTCGGAAACAACTGTCCTTTTGTGCTATTTCCATTTATGTGCTGAAGATTATCATTGGTGGTGGAGATCCTTCCTAACATCAGGATTCACGGCCGTTTATCTGTTTATATATTGTTGTCATTATTTCGCCACAAAGTTATCCATAGAAGACACTGCATCGATTATTCTTTATTTTGGTTACACCCTTATTATTGTATTTTTATTCTTTTTATTAACAGGCTCAATTGGATTTTTTGCTTGCTTTTGGTTCATTAGAAAAATTTATAGTGTTGTCAAGGTTGATTAAATGCACATTAAATTTTAAACAAATTTATTTTTAAGAAAAAGATGGTATGTGAATTTATAAATTTTGTACTACTTCATGTATTAAGCATTTTGTATGAATATTATGTAGTCGATGTGTCTCTAATATATTACTGTTGAGCAACATATTTTTATAGATAAGAGTAGATGTAATAATTCATTTTAAGAATTGAGTTACTAGAATTATTCTATTATGCTGTATTATATGTTAATATAACTATATTAAAAGAAAAATTAATAATATTAATGCATCTTTTAATAAACTGAAAAGAACAGAGAACCTAAGCTTTTTCTTTATTTATGCATTCATATTTATTTTTCGTGTTTAATAATAAATTATGTACATATAATCTACGTTTGAAAAAAACGTTTTTATTTTATTAATATTAATGGATAGTATTCAGGAAAATATGCTTTAGTATGCGTTCATTAGTTTTCTTAAAACTACTGAAATTATATGAAAGGAATGTCTGAATAAAATAAAAAAATGTTTAATAACGACCGGCTAGAATTTTTCTAGACCGCCATGAGTTTTTCTTTCGATCATTTAATGAACCAACAATTTTTTTGTTGGTTATGTTCTTTTGCATATCGATATGAAAAATAATTTATTAATTTTCATCGTTGTCAATGAATTTTGCAGAACTAGCAAATAGTATAAATTCATGAATAATGAAAATTCTCATGAAAAATTGTTTTTGATTTGATTTGCATCAACAAAAATAAATTATCTCGATAATTTTATCGTTTCAATTCATTATCAATATATGTCATTGTTTTGCGCATCAGTTCAGACTGGCGGCCAATCGCCTCGCCTTACCGGCAGTAGACAAGCAGAGCATTTTGAAGCAAATTAAAATCGTGCACGTTTTTACTATTTATCAGTTGATGTGGTGATATAAGAAGGATTTTACTGTTTCTTAATACTATTGGTAAAAATGGAGCTTATACAAGTTCTCGAAAAGACTGTATCCTCAGGTGAGTTTCTTCTTTTATTCACTTGAAAGCAAGGTTATTGTTCATGAAAGTTCGTTACAAATACCCTATGGCGGCATATCATTATTCTTAGTATTCTTCAGTCTTTTACCTCATTTTATAATTTGTAGATACGATTAATTGTGCGAGCACTATTTCTATTGATTTTTATTTGCCAAAATATAAATTTAGTTTTAGCCTCTAACCTATAAATTTGCAATTGTGCAAAATGCAACTCGAGTGCAATCATAGGAGTTACAATAACTATAGATATTATTTCTCACAAATATTTAATCCTCGCATTGAAATAAATATCGTTTTGTTAATTCTTTGATTGCGGTATGGCTGAAATTTAGATTATTTTTCAATTTGTATTTTTTTTTAATCTTATATGCAGCAATCACTTTTAAACTTTTGAACTTAATAATCATTTCTGCTATTAAATTAAAGAATAATAATAATAATATCCAACAAATATTTGAAGATTATTGCCATCAATAATTATTAGGTTAAAATATTTTTAATAGTATTATATACATAAATATGCATATATTGAAGTCTTGTCATGTAAAATTTTAAAATGTTTAAATAATTGAACTCAATAAAAATATCTGGATAAAAATAATAGAAAATAGATCTGAATTATTTTAAAAACTTTATTTTCAGATAAAAATGAGTTGGAAGCAGCACAAACTTTTCTGGAGCAAGCTGCTGCCAGCAACTTGTCAGAATTTCTCAAAATGCTCTCTGATATCTTGGTACACGGTGGTAATAGTCCTGTTACTCGAATGGCAGCTGGTTTGCAATTAAAAAATCAGCTAACTAGTAAAGATGAAACCATCAAACAACAATTTCAACAACGCTGGTTAAGTTTTCCTGAAGATGTTCGGAATTACATAAAGAAAAATGTAATATACTTTATATATATATATATATATATATATATATATATATATATATTGATTTCATACTTGTTATATCTATTTAGCATCTGATGTATGAAAATATTTATGAACTTGAAAATAATTTAATAATTCTAAAAATTTAAATTGATGAACAATAAATTAATCTTTGTTCTTTTCTTGATTTTTTTTAATGAGCATTCCATATCTTACTTGCGAGATTATTGTAATATTTTGACAAAAATAAATTTGTTGTTAATGGTTTATATTATATTTATTGCTTTTTGTAGATCCTTCAAGCTCTGGGTACAGAAAATTCTAGACCTAGTTCTGCAGCGCAGTGTGTTGCTTATATGGCTGTTGCTGAACTACCGGTAGGACAGTGGCCAGATTTAATTAAATGTCTTGTTGATAGTGTTGTTGTACCCAGTTCTACAGAGATGCAAAAAGTCGCTTCTTTAGAAGCTATTGGTATGTATTTATTTTCTGAATCACATTCAATTTTTATTATGTTTTATTCAAAAATTACTAAATATGATGTTTATTTATACAGGTTACATTTGTCAGGATATAGAGTCTGATGTTTTAACTGCTCAATCTAATCAAATTCTCACTGCTATTATTCATGGCATGCGTTCTGCTGAACCAAGCAATCATGTTCGACATGCTGCTTGCACAGCTTTATTCAACTCTCTTGAATTTACAAAGTCTAATTTTGAGAGAGAAACTGAAAGAAATTTTATTATGGAAGTTGTTTGTCATGCAACTCAATCAGAAGATACATCGATCAGCGTTGTTGCTCTACAATGTTTAGTCAGAATTTTGTCTTTATATTATCAATACATGGAACCTTATATGGCTCAGGCTCTTTTCCCTATAACTTTGGAAGCCATGAAATCAGAGAATGATGAAGTTGCATTGCAGGGTATTGAATTTTGGTCTAATGTTAGTGATGAAGAGGTTGATTTATCAATTGAAGAATCTGAAGCCAGAGAAGCAGGTAATTTTCACTTAATAATACCTTTATTATTTACAAATGGCTTATATTTGAAACTGCACTGTTGATATAAAATACATGTACTAATTCTAATGTACTAATTTCTAATGAAAACTGCACTGTTAATATAAAATTACATAAATTTGGACGTCAAATGTGAAACTTACATAGATTCTATATGAACAACAATTATTTTTAAAAACTTTAAAATTTTGGATAATATTTGTTAGACTATAAATATTTTTTTATATAAGGCAGAACAAAATTATTATTATTTCACAAGGTGTCATTGTTTTATATTAAAATTTCATAATGTGATAAAATATTCTATAAACATAATGTTTTATTTCAAAAATAAAGAAGATTAAGGATATAAGTGTATATACTTGCAACAATCTTTTCATTAATGTAGGCAATTAAAAAAAGTTAAATTAATTTATCTTTTGCTGATTCATTCATTGGGGCACTATGCAAAATATTGTTCAAAATATATTTTGAACATATTTTTGGAATAAAAATGTGTAAATGATATTCAATTTTTCTTGAAGTAATAAAAATGTAGAATATTTTGTAGACTGATATTATTTCTTATTCTTTATATTTTTTTTTGAAGATGGATTTTTTTTTTTTGTTTGGATTTTTCTTCAGTGAAAGTTTTTTAAGATTATAAAATTAACTACAGTTGTATATGAGTGATGCAATAATCTACTAGAGAATAAAAATAATTGATTAAAGAAGTTCTTCTTTTAGGCCGTCCTCCAACGAGAACATCTAGACATTATGCTCGAGGAGCTTTGAAATATCTAGTACCAATTCTTATGCAAAAATTAACAAAACAAGAAGAAATTGATGATGAAGATGACTGGAATCCATCTAAAGCCGCTGGTGTGTGCTTAATGTTGCTGGCAACATGCTGTGAAGATGAAATAGTTCCACATGTTCTACCATTTATTGAAGAAAATATAAAATCGGAAAATTGGAGGTACAGAGATGCTGCTTTGATGGCCTTTGGTTCAATTCTTGGTGGATTAGAGACAAATACTTTAAAACCATTAGTAGAACGAGCAATGCCTACAATGATTGAATTGATGTATGATTCAAGTGTAATCGTGCGAGATACTGCTGCCTGGACATTTGGTAGAATCTGTGAAATAATTCCTGAAGCCGCAATAAACGAGACTTATCTAAAGCCTTTGCTGGAGAGTCTTGTAAATGGTCTGAAAGCAGAACCAAGAGTAGCTGCTAATGTTTGTTGGGCATTTACAGGCTTGGCAGAAGCCAGTTATGAAGCAGTTGAAGGTGCTGATGAAAACTCTCAGCCTGAGACATATTGTTTATCACAGTACTTTGAATTCATTGTACAAAAACTTTTGGAAACAACTGATCGACCAGATGGGGCTCAGGCTAATCTTAGATCAGCTGCTTATGAAGCACTGATGGAAATGGTGAAAAATTCACCAAAAGATTGTTATGAAACTGTACAAAAAACTACAATCGTTATCTTGGAAAGATTGCAACAAGTCATGATGATGGAAAGCCATATTGCAACCCATAGTGATAGGTCGCAGTTTAATGATCTACAATCACTATTATGTGCAACTTTGCAATCAGTTTTGAGAAAAGTTAATCCAGAGGATGCTCCAAAAATTTCTGATGCAATAATGAGCGCATTACTTTCTATGTTCAGTTCAAATTCCTGCAAAGCAGGTGGTGTACAAGAGGATGCTTTGATGGCCGTTTCAACTTTGGTTGAAGTTTTAGGAGAAGGCTTTTTAAAATATATGGAAGCCTTCAAACCATATCTTTGCATTGGTTTAAAAAATCACCAAGAATATCAAGTTTGTGGGGCTGCAGTGGGTTTAACTGGCGACATATGGCGAGCTCTCAAAATTAAAGTGCTTCCATATTGCGACGAAATTATGACATTGTTATTGGAAAATCTGGGTGACAGCACCATACATCGTTCAGTTAAGCCACAAATTTTTTCAGTGTTTGGTGATATAGCATTGAGCATAGGTCCTGAATTTAAAAAATATCTTGAGGTCGTACTGCAAATGTTAGCTCAAGCATCACAAGCAGATGTTGACAGAAGTGATTTTGATATGATTGATTACTTAAATGAATTACGAGAAGGTGTGCTTGAGGCATATACTGGTATAGTCCAGGGTTTGAAAGGCGATGGACCTACTCCAAATCCTGATGTTATGTTGATGCAGTCGCATGTTCAATTTATTGTCCAATTTATAACTGTAGTTTCCCAGGATCAAGACGTTTCTGACACTAACATTGCATTGGCTTCTGGTCTTGTAGGTGATTTATGTACTTCATTTGGTGCTGCAATGTTACCTTTACTTGATATGGAACCTATTACTGAGTTACTCACAGCTGGTAGAAGATCTCGTGTTAGCCGAACGAAAACTTTGGCGACATGGGCCACAAAAGAAATTCGGAAACTTAAGTCTACTGCTGCTGCCGCCAGTTGGTAAGCATACTATAACCTTTTTATTGGTTTCATAAATTTTTATAGCAAATTCTTTTTGTTTCCTTTTTATAAAAAATGGGAGTAAAACCTCTATACTATTTTGTTTCGATAAGAAATTATATTGAATCTTTTATTAATGTTGAGGATTATATGCAAAATCCTTCGACACAATATCAATCTTTTCTATGTTATTTGCCTTTTATATAATCTGCTAAAAGTTTTTGTGTTCACAATATTCATGTAGTTCCATTATGTTTAATATGCAATTATTTCTGAGTGGGTTATATGTGATTCATTTTTCAGATTTACTTCCAATCAAAATAAATTCTATGAAATTGTGGTCGCACTTCACTAAAAGATCAAGTCTAACAGTCATAAGGATTAGGATTTAGATAAAATATTGGCCTATGTTAATTTTATTTTTAACTATTTGTAATTTGAACGTAACATTCAGATTTAAATTCAAGCGACAGTGGTTTGATATTTCAACAATTTGAATTGGTTATTATGAAATGAAGCAAGAACAATAAATTTGAGTATAAATTATTCTATAAAAATTATTGCTTACATCATCTACAATTGTCCTGTTTATTTTTGTTTGGCATTACTTTGTATGAAATACAATCAGATGTATGAATTTGTTTGAGGAAGAATGTCTTTCTTGATTATATGAATGTGTTTTGTATTATCAGTGCTCTTCTGACTTTTTGATTTAAGGTTGTATGTAATATTTGAAATTTGTGATTATGTTGGATGCCTCTATATTCTATTGCAAGTTGGACTCATGAATAAAATTTGTGTGTTTTTGGTATTTGTTAATGCATGTACAAACTAGAATTCGATCCAGTTTTAGGAATTGCTAAAATGCTCTAAAAATTATTTGAGTAAAATTTCATAATACAAATTGTTAAGAGCTCATGACATATCCTATATACATATACATGTAATGTACATGCATATATGCAAATGTATATATGCATGTATAAACACATGCATATCATGATATATTCTTGTTTATGTGTGTATATGTATATGTAGGTATATGTATATATGTGTTTATATGTATACATATAAGCATATATCACATTCCAATATTCACTAATTTTATAAATTATTTGAATACATTCAATTATGGACAAAATTATGTGTAACAAAGTTTAATTTATGAAAATTTGAAACTAAACTTTATAATGTCTGAATAGTTTTAATGTGTGCCAATGTAAATGTTGTACTAATTTGATTTATCGAATGAATCTTTAATGAGACTACTTGACATAATCATAATAAACACTGCTGTGATTTGAGAGAGCTCGCAAAGTTTTTAATTTTTTATATACTTATATAAATATATCTTTCAATTGCATAATGCATAAACTAAAAACTGAACTGTTCAAAATATGAAATAAATTTGCGTTAGCTCTCTCAATATTTAACTATTAATTTTCAATCATTAGTGTGATAATTGTTAAATGAAATTAATCTTAAGAGAATATTGTTATTGTACGTTTAGTATGAATCTATTTATGAAAGATACTTTAATGAGGTGTTATTGTTTGAGTGACTATAGTTGGCGAATGAAATAGCAGCATTACCTTTCATGAGGCATAGTTAAAATTTAATGCAACTCGGTTTTTGCTTAATGATACTGCTAATCGTAACAGTACTGTTAATTTGAATCATGAATATCAAAATATTTTTTTCAAATCGGGTCAATTCATTCGATGGTTATTAAAATAAGTTTTCACTTACTGAAATTTCATTAATTTACTACTTTTTTTTTTGTAAATTTAGTGTATATTTACATTATTGGCAAAATACTTTGAGAATTTTTTTTTCAACATCCGTAAATCAAATATATTATGATTCAAGCGTTATTTTTTTGCCATTTTGTTTTAGAAGTTGTAAATTAATTAATTATTTTGTTTGGAAATATTTTAAAAAAAGAAGAACGTGCGTGTGGCGTGTTTACTTACAAGTTTATGTTGATTTTAAACTGGAGCATGAATTCACTGCTGCTTAATTTTTCTTTCTTTTCTTTTTTTTTTTAATAAATATAAGTGTGCTGCAGCAGATAGTCATTTTGGGTGCTTGTAGTATGCATTGTTCTTTGATAGTGTAAATATTTTATTGAATGTTTTTATGTGATGGGAGTGGATTCGTTAAATTTAAGTTAGTGTGCCATTAATGAATAATAGACAGAACACTACGAGTTTGAAAACGTTTCTTGATGTAATTTATAAAATACTTGTTTGCTCAAATTTTTCAATGAAATTTATTTAATAGTCGAATTGAAATAAATTCCATATGTTTCACATGTACAGCAATATCATTAATAAATTTTTTTTAAATTTAAAGTGTTTTCTTATTTTTCTAAGTTTTACTTTTTTATATATCTTAAAGGTGTGATTGATACACAAAATATTTAATTCAAATATGCTTTTGAATAAGGATTATATTTGAGTTTAATATTGGTAATCTACCAAAAAAATAATAGACGTATTCATAATTCTTTTCAGGATTATCTAATTATTACTATGGTGTTTAAGTTACAGATTTTATAGCAATTTTGGACTTAATTGGCTTCTGCTATCCAAAAGTCGTACAATTAGATTATTACCTTTAAATTGGGCTCATTTTTGACAATTCTTACTTGTTTCGATTATTGGATGGATTGGTAAGTTTCAAATATTATATTTTTTTTGAGAATTTTTAAAAATTTGCTTAGATATTTTATGTACTATTAAATTTGATGTCTCCAAATGTATTCCATGCAAATGCGTGTCTGAAGGACGTGCGCCACTGCCACTTTTGTTCATTGGCTAAAACGACCTCGGTTTAAATTAATATAAAAAACGTTATTTTGTGCATGTAGAATATTAAGTTAGATTAGATTTTTTAATAGCCACATAATACTTTATTTTAATTATTACTAGTATTATAACTATCCAGAGTATTGTATTAATTAAAGATTATCAGTTGTTAAAGAACAATAATCATCCAACATTGACATAAAAAATAGGTTTTGAAAGATATTTTATTTATTTGGACCTAAAATATTGAAATGAAATTTCAATATTTTTTATATTCATATTTTGATTTTAATTATTTTGACCTAATGAAAACTTGAAATGAAAATTCTCAGTTAATACGATAAGTTGCAAGCGCATAGGTTCTCATAAAATTGCGCTTTCACTATTATGAAATTGTACACATTCACTATAACTGTCTAAAAACAAGTCGATTTATTGCCTAATCAAAATTTAAAATTATTAGGTTTAATGATAAATTTTGTTTGCTAAAAAGTTCTAGTAGAATTTATTACGGTTATTTGCATCTGTCTTCAAGAGCACAGGCTATTATCAGGGTGTTAAAATTCATATTATTTTTAAAAAGTTTACTATGTTCTTTGTGTAGATCTTTTTGAATTTTTTTTTAAATACAGATAAATTTTATTTATCGTCTTTTTATATGCTCCTGGGAAGATATAAAAACTGTATCTATAGTATTATAATACCTCGACAAGAAATATTCTATAGTATTGAGAAATTCGGTTATTATATTTTTATAGTTACATATTTATAAATTTTAACAAAATACCCTGGATATAAAATCATTTTCGCAATAGTTTGTCGAGAAAAATGCGAAATCAAATCACATATAAATTTCTAAAAAATTTAGTATTTAATTTAAAAAAAATCGTAACTGCCGTGCTCTATATTTCAGATTCTATAGAGGTCTTAACGGATTTTGATTTGAATTGCATGTTGATTATTGTACAGATTTACTTAAATAAGATTAGAATATACTGTGGCGAGTCTTTTGGTCGATGATGCTAGTTTACTATAAAATTAATTTTATACAAATATTTCTTTTAATGCAGAAAATGCTGCTCTGTGCACAATGCATATTTATCGGCTGAATGTTTGATTTGTCCGATCTTTAGCGCCGATGCAAGACCTAGGTGGGCGATAATTTTCTTTGGTAGTTCGCCGTCGACAGTTCTGCTATTAACTGCTATTTTCTGTTATTAAGCGACACATTAAAAAATATTAAAGCAAGTTCGGCAAAAGAGATTTTTTTATGAATATGGATGCAAATGCTACTGCTGACCCGGGTCCAAAGAAAATCGATGAATGTGTGAGTTATGATTTTTTTCATTACATTTTTTATAAATTTTAAATATGAACTTATTTAAACATTACTTCTTTAGAAAGTTTAACAATAATAATTTGATTTAAATTCAGTTAAATTTCAAAATTTTAATTGATTTAACGACAAAATTTTACATGGTTTTCTTATTAATAAATAGTCAGTTTTACACAAATAAATATTTCAATTTTTAAATATTTCAATTTCGTTTGTTTTAATCACATTTATAATTCTTATTAGTAACATTGTGTTTGATCGTTTTAAATTTTAATATTTGTAAATTTGTTAAACATTCCAGGAAAATAATATTTTATTAATAAAATTTCAACAGAAATCTTTTTGAAATTTATGTTGAAAAAGGAAGGAATTGAATATAGTTAACAAAAACTGGACAATAAATATTAAATCACGATCAGAGCACAACTAATATTAAGCTCATTCGAGCTTTACAACCGTTAATGATATATTTTATTTTATTTTATTAACTAACAAGTGTTAATACATATAATTATATAAATTATATAATAATTCTAATTTGATTTAAATACATTGACTTTAATTCAATTGCAGCAATAACTCTATATTATTATATAATAGTATAGGAGCCAGCAACGTTTTCAAAACAAGCATTTTAGTCAGGCTGGTTTTTTGGTATGTGGTCCTTGATGCTCTCTCGGTTAGGGTACGGGCCGTCTGGCAGCTGGAAGTGGTTGCGTTAATTAGTGCGCAGCCAATTTGTACAGCGCGATTTCAAAATTTTGAAAGCATTTTAGTCAGACCAATTTTCGTTTTTTTGACTTCGAATAGGTTCACCAGACTCAAATTTTTTGTTGCCAGACATTTTGGGCGCTGCTAAATATGTGCCAGACGCCAATTTATTTATTAATTTTTTTAAAAATTCAAATCATTTTAGTCCGTCTGAAATTTTAGTATTATGTTCGTTAATGGTAAAAACACGTAAAATTAATTTGCCAGACGTTTCTGCGGTTGTTAACCATGTCTGGCAAGCAAAAATGTCTGGCAATATGATACTAGTTTATAGCATTTTAGTCAGTCCAATTTCCATTTTTTGACTTGATATTTGATATGATAACTTGAATAAGTTATCCAGATTCACATTTTTGTTGCCAGACATTTTGGGCGCTGCCAAATATGTGCCAGACGCCAATTTATTCATTAATTTTTTTTTAATTTCAAATCATTTTAGTCCGTCTGTAATTTTAATATTATGTTCATTAAGGGTCAAGAAACATAAAATTAATTTGCCAGACGTTTCTGTGGTTGTTAAGCATGTCTGGCAACGAAAAAAGTTTGGCAATATGATACTAGTAGACAGAGTGAGACAATCGCCAAATACATTGGCACGAATGAAACAAAAAACTATTATACTCGTAAGAGCGCTATACGTTTACTAGGCAGAAAACTATAAGAAAAATCAAGTAACTATATTAGACAGATGTGTTTGTTATAAACTTCTCTGCAAAATTGTGTTTATACCATTTTTCTTTAGAATCACCGTTTCTTACAAATTGCCATCTGGAAAGTTAAAAAATTCATATTTCTCATATTATGCAGCCTTTATAAATACATCATCGAAGGTGAATTATGAGTGAAAAATAAAAATCCATTGATTTGTGTTGGATAGATGAGTTTAATGAGTCTTTTGATATATCACATTGTAGTATTATTGTCCCAGTGTGGGAGGGTCGCATACCTGATTGTTTTGAAGGAATTAATCGAAATAATTATGTATAAATGAATGCGAGGCGTGTTATAACATCCAAAGTGCTTAAACTGTTATCATATTGAATAAATGTGCCAGTTTCTAGTACCAACACATGATAAGGAAGATAAACTGTAGCTACATTACTGTATTATTGTATCATTAAGCCATAAGACGAATAAATCTGTATAATAGACGTTTTTATTCGTCGTTAAAAAAACGATATTCCCAATTATAATCTTGATTTAAGAGACCTAGGTCGAATGACTATCATTATAAATAGTGATACATATTGATCTAAAATGATCTCATTTGAATTTTTGAATTATTAAATACACTTCGATTTTTAAAAAACATTGCTCAATTTACAGCTAAAAGCTGAAAGAAAAAAGAGCGGAGGATGTTTGCTGTACAATATATATTGTATATATACTAGAATTTTAAGATTCTATTCTAGGGGTAGCTTGAACTAGTAAGGTAGCAAAACTAGTATTACCAGTATTAAGTATAGTTATGTGTTACAAATAGTTGCTGCTAAAGCTAAGTACCATGTAAAATGAAGTCATTTGACTCAGTTAACTTTGCGATAAAAAAAAAATTGCGTACTACAAAAATAATGATTATTGTCAGTTCTCATTGCAAAACTTAAAATATATGATATTCTTAGGAAATTGACGATGTTACTTAACCACTGTCGAGTCAAATTTTTGAAAATATTAACAGCAATATTTTAGAATCATTAACATATTTTTTAGAGCTAGAAAAATTAAAAAAATGACTAATATGATGCAATTTTTGTCTTTTCTAATTAGGTCTTTATTTAACTTTATTTTATTTGTTTTATGAAAATGTTATTGAAATTGCACTAACTTTGAATAGTATACGTATTGCGCTCTTAAGAGTTTAATAGTTTTTTGTTTCATTCGTGCCAATGTATTTGGCGATTGTCTCACTCTGTCTACTAGTATCATATTGCCAAACTTTTTTCGTTGCCAGACATGCTTAACAACCACAGAAACGTCTGGCAAATTAATTTTATGTTTCTTGACCCTTAATGAACATAATATTAAAATTACAGACGGACTAAAATGATTTGAAATTAAAAAAAAATTAATGAATAAATTGGCGTCTGGCACATATTTGGCAGCGCCCAAAATGTCTGGCAACAAAAATGTGAATCTGGATAACTTATTCAAGTTATCATATCAAATATCAAGTCAAAAAATGGAAATTGGACTGACTAAAATGCTATAAACTAGTATCATATTGCCAGACATTTTTGCTTGCCAGACATGGTTAACAACCGCAGAAACGTCTGGCAAATTAATTTTACGTGTTTTTACCATTAACGAACATAATACTAAAATTTCAGACGGACTAAAATGATTTGAATTTTTAAAAAAATTAATAAATAAATTGGCGTCTGGCACATATTTGGCAGCGCCCAAAATGTCTGGCAACAAAAATGTGAATCTGGATAACTTATTCAAGTTATCATATCAAATATCAAGTCAAAAAATGGAAATTGGACTGACTAAAATGCTATAAACTAGTATCATATTGCCAGACATTTTTGCTTGCCAGACATGGTTAACAACCGCAGAAACGTCTGGCAAATTAATTTTACGTGTTTTTACCATTAACGAACATAATACTAAAATTTCAGACGGACTAAAATGATTTGAATTTTTAAAAAAATTAATAAATAAATTGGCGTCTGGCACATATTTAGCAGCGCCCAAAATGTCTGGCAACAAAAAATTTGAGTCTGCTGAACCTATTCGAAGTCAAAAAAACGAAAATTGGGCTGACTAAAATGCTTTCAAAATTTTGAAATCGAGCTGTACAAATTGGCTGCGCACTAATTAACGCAACCACTTCCAGCTGCCAGACGGCCCGTACCCTAACCGAGAGAGCACCAAGGACCATATACCAAAAAACCAGCCTGACTAAAATGCTTGCTCGAAAACGTTGCTGGCTCCCGTACTATAAGGTCTATTTTTTTCTCGAATCAACAATTAATAATAATTCACGAATTAAAAATTGTTATTTTTTATCCGAGTATGTTTATTTTTGGGTCAAATTAGTAAATTTTTCTATTATTGAGTAAAAATAAGCGTGCTATGTATAATATATGAAATGAAGATCGTAGATGACCAATTATAAATATTAATTCTGGAAGTTGTTTACAGTAGTAAAGTTTTACTTAAAAAAGTTGTCTTTTATAGAGATTTTGAACGAGAAGTATTTTTGGGTTAAACGTTAAAAATTATAAATTTTGCATTCAGTTTTGACTTGTTTGATTTAATTAATGATAAATAACACATTTTCTTTGTTATTTACATATTACGAAGCTATTAAATAGTAGCACGTGGTAGTGATTTTTTATAGTTACGCACACGCACTTTGTTTATATCGATGCGTTAGTTTATTCGCCATGTGGCATTTATTTATTAATGCATTTTAACTGCATATTTAATTTACCGGAAATTAAACAAGTTCTTAATAATTGTTATTATAACTCTCTTGATATCGTTATGGAAAATAAACTCATTGATTACTGGAATCGATTTACTTTTTATAAACATTTTCATCTAAAGTACGTTCTATTTATTTGTGACATCATTACAACTTAAGTTTGCTACGTCTGTATGATTAATCATAAAATATTGTATTGAAATAAAAACTGGCGAGAAGACTTATTTGACACTCCGTTCTTGTTTTAATTAAATTTGTCTGTACGCAAAATTTATACTCTACTTTTTTCGAATGCATTGTAAACAAAGATTATGTTTAATTAATTTGAAATAATGAAGTTATACAGCACAATAAATTAATCCAAACATTTGATAACGTCTTGTTTGGAGCAATCGTAAATCAAACTAAAATTAAGCATTAAAACTAATTCAATTAATTAATAAAGATTGCGGTGATAAAGGTAATCGAATATGTTTATCCTATACACTTCTTTATAATATTACTCAGCACCATTTCGCGAAATTAATTGATTTAACTATCGATAAAAATTAGGCTAAGATTTTCATGTGAGAGAACACCACTAAAATATATTTATAAATAATTGCATTGCTCAAATAAAAATACACAAGCGTATGTATATGTAATGTATACACACACACACACATATATATATATCTATATATATATATTGTTATTACTATAAAAATAATTTAAACTCTGCCACGAAGTAGTAATTAAATATATCCTTGAGAAATCATAATGTTCACTATCAGTAGTAGAAACAATACTTTACACATTGGAATATATATCGTCGGGAATTGCCCGAAATAATGAAAAGCACACATAATATGATGTTAAGGATACATAAATGATTTTATGTATCTTTAACGTGCATCATAGTATACACTTAATATCATGCACAATCGATAATTTTTATCAAATCAAATTGAGTTTTAATATGTCTAATCTCGTTATTTTATTTCTAATTTGTGTATAGGACTCTTTGGACCTCGATGAATTATTGCCACAGATAGGAGAATTTGGAAAATATCAGAAGCTATTATTATTCTTAATATGCTTGCCCGCCTGTGTACCGTGTGGTTTTTGTGCTTTCAACCAACTGTTTATGGCGGCTACCCCACAACATTGGTGTTATGTACCAGAATTAATGAACTTGGATCAGGAATTAAGACGGAAATTGATTGCTCCGATCGATGTAAGTTTGAAGAGTATTGCAAAAGTTATAAATTATATCCTAATCCTTTCGCTACCAGCGTCGTCTATAGGCGACATCCGCTTGAGAACCGTCTATGGGCCTCTGTGTACGAGTGTCGTCTATGGGCGACATCCAATGTGTCGACTCACTCTGAGTTAAATTATTGAACAGTATAATTTCTTATTGTAATATATAATTTCTTAGAATAGTAAATTTTATTTTTTTATATATTTCATTGATAATGTTTGGAAAATATTTAGGCATATTTTGTACTTGGGAGAATCGCATAAAAGAGTTACTCCTGCGGAAAATAATTTTTTAGCGAAAGGGTTAATCTTGTAAACTTTTTTTATGGAAAACTAAGTTTTTCATACATTGTTTAATGATAATCGATTATTAAACAACTAAAAACTAGAATAATTAAATAATTATATTTTTTTCATACTAATCTCTATTACCAAAATGCCAAAGTTAATTTGACCGTTAATATTGTTTTCATTTTTATCACTACATAGCTGAATGTTGTTTAAGTTCAGTTTGAGTGCGTTAGACTGATGTTATTTACAAAACTTTAATTGTTTTCATTTTTAATTTATTATGGAAACAAATTGCTTTTGCTATTCAGTGTAATAATAACGTTCATACCATTGTGTAATGAGTCACTTTCATGACATGTATAATTTTAAGTATAGATAATAAGTAATTAACTGTGATTATTATTTAATTTGTAAATTGACAAATCTTTTAATTTTTTTTAAATGCTATTTTTTACTTCTACATTACAGATACATTTATATTACATTTATTAACTAAACTTACCGACCTCAAATACTATTATGTGCTCTCAATATTTTTTTTATTCTTAAATATGATAGTTGAAAATGCGAGTTAAATTTAAATTTTGTAATTATATTTATTAGCTTTATTAACTCTCTTGTTTTTAATTATTATTATATAATTTATTAGAAATAAGACATTATTCTTTTTGCGTTGATTCTAAAAAATTGCGTGTCATTGTTTCTTCACGCTATTTAAAGATAATTATATACCGAGAGACAAATTTTAATTTTTATTATTAAACTATAGAATGCACATGGATCACTCAGCAAATGCAAACGTTATGATGTTAATTATACTGAAATTCTGACGAGCAAAGAATTTAGTGATATAAATCCGAATTCCAGTTGGCCAGTGATTAATTGTGACAAAGGCTGGGAGTATGATACAACTCAAGTTGAATCGTCTGTCGTAATAGATGTAAGTTTTGTTCGTATAATTTTTAATTCATATCTGTAAACGATACATATACTTCTAATATTCTTCCTCAGTTTGATTTGGTATGTGATCGTGCCATATACCCAACATTGGGTCTAGTTGCGTTAAATGCTGGTGGACTGGTAGGTGTTTACGCTTTTGGATGGTTAAGTGATCGTTTTGGGAGACGATCAACATATTTTACTTGTTTGGCCACACTTCTTGTTGGTAGTGTATTAACATCTGTTTCTCGAGATTTTAGAACTTGGGCCGCCAGCAGGGCTATCGTTGGACTTACTATTCCCGCTGTTTATCAGATTCCTTTTATTATAGGTATAATTTATTATTTTAGTAATTGATGTATTATCATGTATTTCATGTTTTTAACAATATTTCAGCTTTGGAACTGGTCGGTCCTAAATATCGTGCTTTTGTAACTGTTCTAACGTGCACTTTTTACACTTTCGGAGTTATGATTCTGGCCGGCGTAACTTACTATATACGAGATTGGACAACCATGAGTTTAGCTACATCAGTGCCGTTTATATCATTTTTCTTATATGCATTTTTTCTACCAGAATCTCCTAGATGGTTATTAGCGAATGGAAAGCTCAATGAAGCTTTAACAATTTTACAAACGTTAGCAAGTGTAAATAAACGAACCATCCCAGAAAGTTTTTTAAACCGTTTGCAAAATTTGAATAAACTTCAGGTAAAACAAAAAGAAAAACAGCCAGGAGCTCTTTCTTTGTGCAAAACGCCAAATATGAGATTGAAGACGATACTAATTACTTTAAATTGGTTTGCAAATGAAACTGTATACATTGGATTAAGTTATTATGGACCGCAATTGGGTAGCGATCCTTACGTGAGTTTTCTTCTTGCATCATTAGTTGAAATACCAAGTTACGTGGTTTGCTGGTTTCTTATGGACAAATGGGGAAGAAGATGGCCTTTGTGCCTAGGCATGATTTTGGCAGGAATTTTGTCTTCGATTACAGTTCTACTTCCAGCAGGTTAACTTTTAGTATGTATAATATTAACGATTAAAAACTGAAAGTTATTTGATTTCAGATGCGGTTATTACAACCTTGGTTTTGTACCTTCTTGCAAAATCCGCTATATCTGCATCATTTTTGATTATTTACCCTTTTGCTGGGGAATTGTATCCTACTCAAGTTCGAGGAGTCGGTATAGGAACATCTTCTTACATCGGAGGACTTGGCTTAATAGCAATACCATTCATAACTTACTTAGTAATATTTTTTTAAAAAACATATATTTATATAATGCATAACAGAATTTTACTTGAATTGAATTTGGAAATTTTAGGGTGTGGAAAACCTTATTTTACCTTTGGTAATAATGGGTGCGGTATCTATTTTTGGTGGAATTGCTGGTTTACGTCTTCCTGAAACTTTACATCAAAAATTACCTCAAACTTTAGAAGAAGGAGAAGCATTTGGTTCTGATTGGTCTGTTGCACAATGCACGGAATGCATTCCCAAGCGGTACTCGTATGCCTTCTGTTTTAATTTTCTGAATGATTTTAGTGATTACTCAGTAATAAATTCGTTGATTTTTTTAGGATTAAACCCGTTGAATCTATCAATGACAGTTTGTTTGGCAGCAGAGCAACAGTATCAACTATAGCTGAAGAATATCATAAGCAAATTTCGCATTTATAGCTAAATTTAAGATTGCTTCAATATAGATTAGGTTTTGTTATTATTTAACAGAAACCCTTTAATTAGCTTTAACTATTATACTATTGTTTAATATATTTATGAACTATTGTTATGATATGGCTATTTATGAATACCAATATGAAATATTTTCCTATTGTATATATTGTTGGTGTACTACCTGAAGCAGGTTTATGATAAGCGAGCTCTGCATTTTCTTCAGTTTCCTTCTTTAATTATTAGATTAGAGTTTAATACACACACACACATATATATATACATTATACATATATATATATATATATATATATTTAAGTATATATATATTCACTTGATAATTACTTGTTCACTTTTTTTACACATATGTAGGACTATCTAAATGAAGAATCACATCTTATACTATCATGCACAACTTAGTAGAAGGTTCCATCATGCACTAATATCATATAGGCGAACATAGTTTATGGATTAGGTAACTATAACTACATTATTATTTCTATTTCATTTACACTTCGATTTATATATGCGATCAAATATTTTAAGTATTTTTGGATTGAATTGTCACAAATGTTTTATGTCAGCATCAAGATGCTACAAATACAGATTGTTGAGAATTTTGTTTAGGAATACTACTTTCATATGATATAAAAACAACAAAACATGCGTATGATATTTCTATATCTATATCTATTTTCCCTGTTATTGTGTTTAATATTGTCTTTGTTCAAACTATTACTAATACTTATCTAAAGTTAAACAACAAATCTATTAGTTGCTTTATTATATTGATATCAATTCAGTTAAAACAGCCGGAAAAAATATTTACGTGACCTTTAATTCTTTATTTACGTAAGTAAAGTGAGCTTTACTTCGTGACGAAAAAGTTTATTTAAACAGAAAATCTGATTTGCTACTTTTATATTTAATTAATTTTCAAGCCTCAGGTCATTTGGCGTCGAGGTTTATTGAAAATTTATATTTTAACTATTAACTTTGATGGCAATACTATGTCTGAATTTTTACCTTGCTAATGCTTACTTACTCATTACCTGTTTGGTTTGCCAATTGCTTAGGCATATTTAAATGATGGAATTTGTTTAGTTTTCAAACTTCGAAGAGCAACTTAAGTCATACTAGTGCAAAAATCTTCTGTGTTTTGAGTAGTTTTTCATAGGAAGGAAGGAATTAATAATTAATTACAATATTCCAAAGTTTTTCACATTGCAAAATACCAAAAACTACTGTATTGATTATTATTATCTAGGCTTAATATATGTTATATGTTATAACCACATTCGATACTTTATGAGATCATCATTTTATTTTTTTGAATATTTTACTAATTATGTATTGCGTGGTAACTAATAATCAAAAACATTCGATTAATATTATTTACAAACAGATGTTAATCTCAGACAATTTTATATATTTGTTCACTAGTTGGTACAACAATGGATGGTACGACTAAGGCGACTTTAATCGTACATTTTTGAAAACGTAAAAATACGTATTTGATTGAAAAAATAAAAATTAGTTATTGTTAATCATTAGACAACAAAATAAAATTTCAGTAAATGCCAAAGATTTTGTTATATTTTAATTGCACTAAATATTACAGAATTATTTTGTTAGGTATAGAACTTTAGCAACGGCACCTGATATATTCATAAGCAAAAAGAGCAATTGGTGAAAAGTGAAAAGTAAATAGATTGATTGTGCTAATATTATAAACAAACAAATATTACATCTATTATTAATTGCATGAACAAATAATGATCTCTCAAAACACACTTCTAGTTTTAAAAATTTTAAACGCAATGGTTTGATCTCTTGTCCATTATCTCGTTGGTATGGATATCTTAAAGTTTATCTTTTAATTTATTTAATTAAAAAATAATGAATAAGCTCTTACCTTTGAAATTAAATTCACGCTAATATTTCTAACTATAATTTCTACATTTTTTATTACTCACTTATTCTTTCATGTTTGTTCTCTACTAATTTTGTTCAACTTTTTGTAGCCATTAATTTTTTTATATAAACCAAAAATTGTTTTATGTTATTTATATGAATTTTGCCTGCCTAAATTGACATTTTGTTCGATCTTTTCAGTTAACATGATGTACCTCTTACACCGCTATTTGGGTTCAGCATTTCGAAGGAGAAATTTTGGGTGTATACAATTTGTCGATGAGTTAATTAACAGTTCACCTTCTTCATTAATCATAATGATGAACTTTCATTTGCCAATTTATGGATGTTGGATTGCCTTTGAGGTATGTTGGCCAAAGTTGTTTGATTTTTTAAAATATAGATTTAAGTCTACATGGGTAAAGTAACATCCAACCGTTATGCTAATACATTTATATTCATGCTCACTTAATGGCATTGCATAACAAGGAAGAATGCTGATATTAAAAATGAGAAAATGGGTGGTATTCGACCTGAATGAAACATTGAAAACAAATTCAAAATCACTTTATAAATTTAAATAACGAATTTTGATTTCAAAATATTTTACTTTTTATATTAATAGGCTCTTAAAAATAAACTGATAAACTAAATTAATTATAAAATATCAACAAAAAAGTTTTAAATGAAACACTAATTTTAATATATTATTTGTGTGCATTTAATTATGTTATAATATATTATTCTGTATCACTAGTAATATAATATGCAATCTGTAATATATTATTAAATTTAATAACAACTACATTAATTATATATAAGTATACAACACCAAAATTACAATTAATTAAAGTTTTGTCATGATCTAATATAATAATAATAAAACATACATTTACAGAATTAAATAATCTAAGATATGTATGTATGCATTGTTTTAAACTCAGGCAAGGTAATAATGTCGACATATAATATTTCTTACTCACTAAATACACTCTTCATAATTAATGGTACATTTATTAAAATATATTGGTATAATTGGTAACTCATGGTAATCGAATGGCGAACGATTAAAGCACGTATAAAATTCTTTTGAAAGTACAAACGATTTTATAGATTCATCACTATTTCAAACCTTAGTCATACTATTTCAATCCTAAGTACTCATTAGTTAACTAATATAAATTGACCGTCACATCGCATTGGATTATATGATAAATATAATGTCTTCATATATTTAGCGATTTTCATGAAATACAATCAAATATTTATCACAAGGATTCTACTAAACAAATAAAATCAATTTTAATTACGTATTAAGGGTTCAAATTTAGTGCATTGAATGATAGGAGTTATGAAAATTATGAAATTCTTTCTTCATCCGCATTCACTCGTATATTTTATTTTATACAAGCAAATTTTGAGTTTTACATGATAAGGCCTCGAATGTGAAATTATCAATCTTAAAGCATTATATATAGGCTGGACACAATTTAAGGCGTGTGTATTTAAGATACTGAGAATAAGAGGATTCTTAGATTGATTCATGGTTTATTATATGTTTTAGAATGAAAACATCTATTTATGACATTGGGAGCATAGCGTTTTGAAAACATTTGGGATATAGAAATTTTAGTACATAAACAATATAATTATAAATAAATATTTGAGATCGAAACATATTTTTCTTAAACTTTTAGATAAACAAAATATACATTCACAAATCGCAGCATACGCTCCCATTTTTGTACCCATTCCTAAACAATTTTGTTTAAATTTGGTCTTTAAAACTACCTTATTCGTAAAAAATATTCTGTGGGCAATTGCATATCCATTTTCCAATATTTGTAAATTATATTTGTTCTGATGCTACACAGATTGGACGTCTGAATTAGAGTAAAATTCTTAACTATGATTTACATGGCACGTCATTTAAGTTTATAATCATCATGTGGTTTATGGCATTTTTTTTGACGAATTGTTATTGGAAGTTGCGTCAGGCAAGTTTGAAAATAATAATATCGACGCTCAAGTTTTGGTTACGCTACCACAGAATGTAAAAACCGAAAGTAAATTTTAATTTTTGTAAAAATAATCCAATTCAAATTTGACAAACCAGTCTTACTATCTTATTTCTTACAATCTACATATGTAAATAATCTTATTAAATATCTTTCTTTCATTCTATTACTCCTCCTCAGTCTATTCAGTTCTCATTTCTCAGCTCCACGATAGGTTACTTAAAGGCGACGTTAATGTATTTAGAAATTTGAATTATAAAATATATAAATTATTTTGTTGAAATATTTTTTCAAATCCATATTATTTATTTATGTATATTATATTAATTCATAGGCATGCCTTCCTGCATTACAATATTTTTCTGGCATGTTTTTCTCTGTCGATAGTAAATTATCTATATTTTGAGTTAATACTGGAACGGAAATCACAAGAAATTACATGGGTATAAAAAAATAAGTAAAACTATTCAAGAAAGATGCATTTTGTAACCATATCGAAAAAAAGAACTTTTATTTTATATTTACTTAAACAAAATTTAATTTTGAAGAATTTTATCATTAACTATCTATAAAATAATTTTTTAAATATAATTTGCACCGATTTTTCAATCACAATTTACAATAAGATTTTAATTAATTTCAAATCAATAAAATAATATTATTGCTGGTAACTGGAGATTTATGAACTAACAATAAGTGTTAAACAATATTTTATACAATTTAAACTGTCTAAATTCATAAAAATATTTTTAATTCTTTATTATTTTATATAATCGAAAATAAAAATAGAATTTCTAATTCTGGTAATTCTAGCACTCTGACTAGTGTTTTTATCGCATGTGTTTCATAATTTTATAGTAAAAGTATAGTGATATTTTTATAATATGATCTAACAGATTCAATAAAATGGTAACTTATTGCAAGAAAATTTAATTCATGCTTAAATATACAATGGTAAAATATATTGCTTATTTATCCGTGTGTCTAATATCTGTTACCATTGCATATTAATGCACGCGTGTATGTATATAGATAAAAGATGTTAATCTGTATGATTTCGAAGCCATTTTATATCTCTATATTGGTTTATTTATTCTAAAAATATATATTAAGTTCGCAATCAATAGATCATTTCTATCAAATTTTGTACTTTGTCAAGTCTACTGTAGACTTTATATCAATGTATATATATACATATATATATATATATATATATATATATATATATATATATATTTTTATTATTAAATTCTAAGCTTATAAACGTTAAAATAATTTTTTAGTTTCTCTTTTTGTGCTATGAATATTATATTAAAAAAATAACATTTAACAATCATGATTTGAAAAACAAAGCTATTACAACATACCTTTAAATTATGACACGCACTGAATATAAAATATATGTTTCTAATTACTACTAGGTTTATATGTTGATGATGATATTTCACGTTTTCTATAACATAGTATTATCATTGAGAAGCACAACACCATACAAATAAATTACAATTATAAACAAATGCAATATTTGAAATCAATAAGTACAGCAAAAATAATTGCATTTGATATATAACATAGTGCGCACATTGAGTTTATACATTTAACTACACTTAAAACAATCATAATAAACTGTCTTCCATCGAGGTTGCATTCGTATGCAGAATTACAATTAGAGAGATCGAAATTTTAATGAATTTGATTAATCATGGGCTAAAATGGTAAACTGGCAACGAACATGTTTTCAATGAGAGGCGGTGCTGGAACTAAGTCTTCGAGTTTTAGGTAAAATATTCGCTGAAGACCTTGCACGCTCAGCGACCTCAGCTCGGGAAGTTTGCCTAGTAAGCGGCTGAAGTAATGGGCCTTGCGTTGGGCTTCCGCGTTGTATGTCACGTGGTCACGCAGAGAGCTTATGATTTTCATTTGCAACTGTTCGACTTTTCGCGGCTCTTTCAGACCGTGCCTTTCTGTAAGCAAAACGAATCGATTTTAAAAGTTTGTTTTTTATATATAAACATGATTAAAATTTCATAAATAATTAATGCATCGCTAATGTACGTATATGTTCAAAATGTATAATTTACCTGTAACCAGTGTGAGGGCACATAAGCAGGCGAAAGCTGAGATATCAATTTCCATGGAGTGCAAACTGTCACTGAAGTCTAAAATAGCGTGTAACCAGTCACCGAATGAACGCTGACACTGCTGCTTATCCAGAACCACACCATTGCAAAATATCATTTTAGTATCATGCGCTCGCGTTCGGTACGATAATCGCAATACGAATAATTCTAGTGATGCACTTTGAAACAAAAGCTCTTGATCCTCTGTATTGAGATCTGTAAATCCTGGTAATTTATCGGCAAAATGACGTATGACATCTACAGATGTTGTTAATAAAGCGTAGAACTGTTGTACTTTATCAGCTTCACAAATTGTGGGTTCCACAGGTGCAGGTTCACGATATAAGGAATAATCTAGGCTTGCTAAGTCAGGTGTTGTGTCCACATGTGCTCTTACCAACGCTGTGATCATGGAAACAGGCGGCGATGGAGGCGATTCTTGCGGAGATTTGGGTTTAGATGGTAATCGACCACGTCTTCCTTTTAAAGAATCTGTGCGAACTACTTCTTTGACCATACCTACGGCTAAACATTTTTGGAATCGGCAAAATTGACACCTATTTCGACGCCTTTTATCTACCGGGCAAGCTTTGTCTGCCAGACAAACGTATTTCGAACCTTTTTGGACTGTTCTTTTAAAGAAACCTTTACAACCTTCGCATGTTCGAACACCGTAATGCTGGCAAGCGGCCGTGTCTCCGCATACAGCGCACAGTTGTGATGGACTCTGTGGCGGGCATCCCGGCGAAGAAGATGCGGATGACGATGCGCTCAGGGCTGGTGGTGGTCGCGGTGCAGGACTCTCACTGCTGCTGGTGGACTCAGACCTTTGGAGCGGCAGTGACGCTCGTCTCTGCCTCGCTGTTAAAGCCGTTCCTGCGGGGACTATGGAAATTGGCGGAACAGCACCGGTAGGGAATGTAGGTAATGAATATGAGTTTTGGGGATTAATAGCGTGCGTTTCATATCCCGAATGGGGCGACTGATAATATCCGGGAGTATATTGATGTGCGTGCGGACTCGAATATTCGTAAACTGGCGTTTGCATATGGTGGTGGTGATGGTGATGATGATGATGATATCCAGCTGTCTGTACGTTAAAACAGTCTTCGTCCATCTTAATGTTCAACTGATCTGCAGTCGGCGAATACCTAACAGAATAAGTTTCTTGAAAACTAGGTAATGTTTGAGGTGACGTCGAACCGCTTTGTTGCTGTTGGTCTTGCTGTTGTGGTGGTGCTGTAGCTTGTTGAGGCGGTGGTTGCTGTGGCGGGGGCAGTTGTTGTTGTGTCTGAAAAACCACTTCAGGAAACGATTCTAAATCTTCGTTGAGAACGCTGGATGAAATGTCGCCATACGGTGTTGAAATAAGATCAGCAAAGTTGCTGGTGCCGAAATTTGTCTAAAAAATAATAACAACATTATTAGAAAATGACAAATGAACAAAAGAACAAAATCAAAATTATCGTGGAAATTATTTATTTCATAATAGAGTAAGGAACTAATGAAATTACAAATCAATCATATCAGCGCCATTGAAAGTTATTTCTAAGCAAAATCAATCAATCTTATACACATTTAACGATAAGATAGGAATATTTGAGTCATCACACGCAAGACCACTTTCGAAATAAATTTTAGACAGTTCATCTCATTCAATCGTTTTCACAATCACGATTTCAACTTAAGTGTTAACATGCACAACGATTCACATATATATAAGTTTTGTCATTTTTCTTATCGGTTCGATATATTACAAATTAGTCTATGCGGTTCATGCCGTTGTAGAAGTCGTCTCTGATGGATTTCTACGTGTCTGGTTTGTGTAACAGTTGTACTGTATGCGCTATATTTTCCGCGCATAGTTCAATCGTGGGCGTGTTTCATATTGTAAGTGGAATAGGCGGGAACGTCCATGAGGTTCGTTTCTTGAACACATTTCATGCTTTGCGTGATTCTTGTGTTTTTCAAGCTAATTCCTATTTCATGTACTCGACCAGCATATACGATTTCTTGAACGAAGAATCTGCCGCATGTTACAAGTGCTTTGAATTTTACAGCTGCCGCGAATATATTGCTGATATATATATATATATATATATATATATATTAGGGTGGTCCTTAAAATGGTCATGCGCTCTATCTAAACGTTAATATTAAGAGCTAAAACTTTCAGAGAATTGTTTTTTATCTATTTGGAACCATTTGAGCCCCTGGGAGCAAGGAAATTCGAAAATGACCATTTTAAGGACCACCCTAATATATATATATATATATATATATATATATATATATTTCTGAACCCTATTTTTGCTCGGCTTCAGTCTCTACATATAAATGATCAAAATCATTTATACAGGAGAGATAACATCTTCTAAAGATTAGATATCTATAAATTACCCTTCTGTTTGATAAACATGGTTAACGGTATATACAGGACACCCAGTTTGAATAGTCTTTTGAAGTTGTTTCTATAATTAAATTCAAGACACTTTGAAATATGATGATTTTAATAATGACAAAAAAATCCAATCATTTGCAAAATTTACGAAAATAATCTAATAAAAAATAATCTTTTATAATATTTTAAATAATAAAGCAAAGATTGGTTAACCCGTTTTACCTTATAACATTTTGAAAAAAACAGCCTAACATGCAATATATAATTTGATTTCATTTAATTCAATCGTAAAAGGTGAACCTTACAGAATTTTCGCTAATGGTCGCCTATCAGAGTTTACCATGATTTGTAATTTGCGTAAAAATGCGCACCTAGTGTAATAACCGTTCGTTTGACCATTGATTTTACAATTTTGAGTCATAATTATTGTCCATTGAGAAGCTAATAATATATTCAAACGCTATTCAGGTAATAAAACTTGCACTGCATTGATCTATTATTGCCACACACTGTATTCAGGTAGACCTAAGAGCGTTAAAAGTTGTGTAATCACAAAAGTAGAAAATTATAGTGCTGAGACGCGATTCCATTACAATGGTTCGGAATATTCAGGTGGTTCTTTTTTATCTCGGTGCTAGTTGAGTATTTTTTGCAATCAGGCTGGGTTCAGTCGTGCTTTACTTTGGTATACTACTATTGTTCATTTGTCGTATAGTTTTTGAGAATTGGGGTTAAAACTTTTAATTTTAAACCTATATCTATAAACTATCGTCTTGACAAAACAATACGAGTTAATCAAAGAACAAATTTGGAATATATATTTTTAAAACAAGGATATATAATAACAACCAAGTTACAAAAATTTGAAAATTTATAAGTACTATGTAAAGGGTAGCATATGTGAATGTTTTGAATGTGCAGCGGGCATGATCAAAATTGTCAATTGATGACACAAACACACACACACACACACACACATATATATATATGTATATATAATTATATAATTTGTTCAACTATAAATTAAAATAACCTCTCACCTGTGTTTGCAAAAGTAGCATGCTTGTATTGACCGTTGGGTTGACGTTTTGCGATTCGTTCGAATCCTGCACCACCGGAGGACCCACTGGGACTGGACAGGCACGGGTGCCCGGGCACACCTGATAGGAACCTGCAATCGAAGTAATATATAAAACACAAATTTCAATTTAATTTTTATCATTCGGTTTGTCATTCTACACTTGGAAAATTGTACCATTTTGCATCATGGGATCATATCAGGTATACTAGTATCCACCAAACTAAAACTTTTGATTAAACATAAATTAAGCACTTAACACAACTTACTAAATTTAGATACTAAATTTTATGAAATTTATTTTTAAAATGATTTTTGCAATTTGATTGTATTCTTCGATGCTTTCGTGTCAAAATGAAGACTTCTACAGAAGGAGCTCAGCTTTATATGAGTTGCTAGTTCATACTAAGGTTTTATGATATTAAATATTACAGTAAGGATAACAATAGCTCAGTATGAGCAAAATCCAGTGCCGTGGTTATCTACGATACCATCAAAATCATTTAAAACTTTGCTAGTACTGGGGGTTGAATTCGGCTAGCGCGTGTTAACGGGGCGCAAAAGTGGTTGAACCTACCCTTTGTTGATAATAACACATCAGTGAGATAAATGATAATAAATGAATATGAAAATTCAGTTATTGAATCAGATGTTGTATCATGCTTTCGTACTTCTTTATAAGTTGAAATTCATGTATCCGTTTATATTTAAAATTATAAAATTGTCTTGTTATAAGAATATTAAATTTTTTATTGTTTACATTTTTTAAATATCTTTTTGTTTTAGTTGATCTGCATAGGTTACATATGCATCATTAAATATTTTAGCTTTGCGATTCTTACAAATTTTGCAATGTTTCAGCTGCATTTTAGAAATTTTCGCCGCTACTGGTATATAAATATGCTCATATGTATATAAACCAAGTTATAATAGATAATATTGGAAAATCGAAGACTTTGGAGTTTAAACATCAATATCTTTCAATATGAAATTAAATATCGCATTAAAAAAATCTATTCATAATTTGATTTTGTTGTAACATTATTTTAATATAAATGATTTGTGCGTTATAAATTCACAACTTCTTATATTATAAAAAAAACATTATTTCTCATTTATGCACAACATTATTCAGTTTTTATGGTAATAACTTATCAGAATTACCAGTCGAATAACGGTACTCTATCGACACTAGACGTCCTTGCTTGCTATGGATTTTTTTCATTGAAGGCCGACGATATATAGTAATTTAATTGACTTAATGAAAATTTAATAAATGTTTTATATGCTGTCCTGATCTTCAAAACAGAGACCCGTCGCAAACTGGCTGACCCAAAATTTTTTAGGCTCTGGATACTTATAAGGCGTTTTCATAAAACTCATTGTAAGGAGTTTTCATAAATATATATATATATATATACATATATATATATGTATATATAAATAGGTTTGAGTTTCTCAGCCATAAAAAATTATACATACAGCGCTAAATGATTTACCACTTTACCAATAAAAAACGTAATGTATTCTATAAATGGCTACTTATTGCGTATGCACAAAGCTTGCAACTTTGTCAGCATTTTATTTAAATCTTCCACAGTTTTGTTCAAATTACCATGTCTGCCAGATGACGTGTTTTCAACATTTCACTTGCTTTATTTGTTTTTACTTTATATAATAATGGTTATAAGTGTGATCTGTAATAAAAACTATCGAATGTGGTTGAAACATATGCTCGAGGGCTTCATACTTATGTACAAAAACCGTTTAGTATAAATATTAATAGGTAGTAATATCGTAGGGCAGGTCCGTGAGCTGAGCTAAACTCAATTCAATTCAGAAAAGAATAGTGTGAGAGATTTCCCATTACCATTTCATATCGCGATTGGAAACAAATTTTTGATCTATATTTTCAAGTAAAAATGGACATCTCTGCTGCACGATATCAAGTTGTTCAGAGCGGTGGCTCAAACTTGCGACCCTCAAATACACACGCGCCATGGAATACCTATTATTGAACAATATTGATTATTTTTTAACACCGATTTATAAATATTTTCTGTTCAATAAATGATATAGAGAATCATTAATTATTGAATACGGTAGTTAGAGCTGAACTTTTTTTTAATAATATTTCATAATAATAATCCAACAACAATTAATTATCCTAATCAAATTAGATACACCGCTATCTCATCTCAAAGATCGTACAGCTGATACATCCCATGTATCAATATTTATTTACGCGTTGTCAGAATGAATTATTCAACAAAATCGCGCATATCATTGCTCATAATTACATATTCAGACACAACGGATACTATTATAAATATTCGACCGTTTAGCGATTATATGCAAGTTGTGTCAAAAGAATACAAACAGCTAGAAAAAAAATTAAGTATAGAAACCATATTGTGCAAATGAGCAACATGGCGTAATAGTCTAGAAGATTTCGTGAAAGCAGTTATAAAAAACTAAGTAGGTCCATCACCGGTTATTCATCTCGACATATGATGCGATAATAGCAAACAAAATTGCGATTTTACTTTCGTTTCGATAATTATGCGTTGTGCAATAAATAATACTATGAAAGTTTTTTTTATATTTATGTTTTTATTATATGTTTACATTTGCAAATTTCGCCAACGCGACAACCCGATTTGTAAATATTTATGACATACTATTTCTGTATCCATATAGCACCTCGTTATAGAAAATAAAAAATGGATTGATTTTATTCAACATATATATATATATATATATATATATATATATATTCATCGGGCATAAAATCAGTAAAAAGTATAAATTTCTTTAAAAATTTATCCACAAATCCATAAGTTTTGCCACCATTTCTAGCCTTTATGTTTATTCTAATATTCAAAATAGAGACAGCAATTATACATGCTATGAGGATATGGAGATGTAATGAAAAGATGTGCAAAACGATAAGCATTTTGGCACATAGTAATAAATTTTTAATTACAATCCAAAAAACAGATATTTGTGTCACACATCGTACCTAGCTCATTTCGTTTGTTTATTACTCTTTCATTACAAACTATTTATTCTTCTCTCGTTATTCATCAATAATATTGATTCATTATCATAGATATGGTCTATGTTCATTTTCATATTAAAATGTAGTATTTGTTTTAGTTTCAAAGCGCTGTAAACAAATCATGAGGTGATTAAATTTTCCGATGATGTAGCTGAAAATGCTTACGAGCCGAAACGGCACTAGATTGCTTCCTTTCTTTAATAAATCGTGTTTTTATGAAAGAAATTATCACTATAGTATGATAATAAAACTATTATGCTTTTATATTACTATTTGATAGTAAAGCTAATTTTGATATAATTTATTGAATTTTATCCTAATTCTCAAAATTTTAAAATGAATGTATCGTATATATTGGTTACACTCATATAGAATGTCTCATATAGAAATTATTAAATATTATCGAATTTCTTCATTTTCAGTAATTTTACTTCTATTTTGCAAACGACTTATGCAGATTTTGCACCCAGATAGCCCTTGTAAGATTTTCTTCTCTCGCACGTTCATTGCAGTAATGCTATCGACGAACGTTTCGTAACATTACATATAACACATTTACATAAATCGCATTTGGTAGGCCTCCTCGTGTTCATGTGAATGTATATAAACTTAATGCGATAATTATCTCATTTAATGCATTCCCATGCATAATGTCTACATAATTTTAGGTGCGTTTTTTCAGCAGAAATATTTATCTGCGTGGTCTATCGCAATTCATCGCAAACTGAATAGCAACCGTGAATTACAGGTCATTTGACTTCAAATTATCATATTTAATAATTTATGATTGACTTATCGGTGGATCACAATATTATTATAAATATATATATATATATATATATATATATATATAATAACAATGCTGGAATACTATTTCTAATTAGTATTTCATTAGTATCTTCCGAATGTTTCCATGCAAGCACACGCAAATGCATATTTTGCCTTTTTCCAAGAACGCAAACAAAACACGAAATGTATTATTAATATAATAATGTTAATAATATATTATTGTAATGTTACAAGAGTTATTTCATAAATGGAATGAATATATTTTCACAGAAAATGCAAATTCGTTTCAATGATGCAAAACCATAAACACTATTATATAAACATACACACATACACACATATATATATATATATATATAGATATATATATATATATATATATATATATATATTCATTAATTTTATAGATTTTCCCCTTGATCATATCAGCACAATATGATTCAAATTAACCGAGTCTATTAAATAGATTTATTCGTTGCGCAGATGTTGAAGCAAATTCTTCGTATCGCCCTTTTATATAACTGATTATTATCCGTGAAAATCTTGATAATTAAGGGGTTATCATCCCCATATCTAACGAGGATATTTGAGAAGTTAATATGGAGTTATTTTTTAGGCAAATGCAAGTTTGTCAGCTATGATGCATTTACGATTAATTATAAAAGATAATTGACAGTAAACAATTATAATTACTAAACGGTTGATATCTGACATAAGCTATGTATTGAATGCATAATTATGTAGAGTCATTTTATCGGATATATATATATATATATATATATATATATATATATCCATCACTACACTTGCTTTGTAACCTTGATCAGTGTCCATAATGCATCGCTATTAATAACATAAAATATATGAGGGCAATATGTGCTCCTTCAATTTCTCGTTGTTAATATAATAGTATATTATTATTTTACACAAATTTAGTGTTCAATCAATTTTACATCATAATTAAATTTTTCTGTTGTTTTTCCTGGTTTGATTACTGAATGATGACACACATCAAGTGTCGAAACGTTTAATGGAATAAATAATTTTGTTATTTAATCTTTTTTCAATTCGACGATTGGGCTGCAAAAATATTACAAATATATATATATATATATATATATATATATATATATATATTAAATTCGGAAGGATTACATCAAAAAAGATAATTAATAATTGTGCGGGACGACTTACATGATACGAAAACTATACTATTGCTTAAAATCACTTCATAGTTGAAGAAGTATCATTTTGTTTGTTGATACTGTTTTGGTACATTCAAATACAATTTTTGTTGTAATGTCCTGAATATTTTGCTTAACATATCTTAACATTAC